CTCTTGGCGCCCCAGCATCTGTATATAGTTCCTACATTAAACAACCTTTAGAAAGTGTGTTTAACGTTTAGTTTATTTATTACATAGACTAAGTAGCATTTAGCTTTCTAAAGAGCTGCAATACTATTTGTATATCTTGCACTATATATACCTCCAACCCTGTCCAACAAGGACTGTTTGACCCGGCCTCCCTACTGCCGCATTAAGGGCAAACCACGATCCGGTCACTCTATATCACCCTCCATTAGCCCAATAGCCTGTACGTAGGACTGTACACCCTACCGGATTGGCCCCTTCTATCCGTCCTATCATCCCCTAGGAATATCACCAGACCCGAGTGCTTCCCGAAGCAAGGATTGTAACATACTTAGCCTTTATAAGTTACCTGTAGAATTAGCATATAAAAGTTATTTAGCGCTATAGTTATTTATTATTTTTTAAAAACTTTTATATATAGCTATAGCATGTTTTTTTAAAAGTTTTATGTTATATTTAAAAGCTTAAAGTGTAAGCTGTATCTAACATTTTTCTAGTGTATTTAAGTAGTATTGTTAGAAATGTATTAGTATAAAAAAAGTAGTTTAGTAAGGTTTTAGTAAAAGTAAGCAACTTAAGTGTGTAAGCAACTTGCCTGTAAAGTACATTAGTAAAAAAAAAAGAAATAAAAAAAAGTAAGCATATAATAAGTTTTAAAAAATAAATGCAGACTAGGAGTCTTATCAGCCTAAAACACTATTGTAATAGGCAGAGCAAGCTCTCTGTTGCTGCGAAGCGAAAGTACTAAATGGTTTACACTGCTTGAACTATTAGACGAATTGGCAAGTAAATTTAATACGAACAGGCGAATACATCCCTAGACGTACACAATAGCCCAGAGCTCGAATAGAATGTTTGAAAGAGGCAGAGGAAAGCAATGCGTATGCAGCAGCTTACTATTCTATACAAACGTATAGGTGACTTGCTTGAGGAGGAGGTAAGTGTAACGGCACAGGCAAGACAATGGGTCCGAATGCCGTAGGAATCCACTCAGAGGCATATGGGAGTGCGTGGGGACTTAATGACCTGGGAATCTTATTAACACCTATAGGCCTTGTATAAAGGATATTAGAAAACTACTAAGCTAGCTACAGAGGCAAGGTGCAACTAAATATATAGGGGAATAAGAGTACAGCAGGGGGTAGGGCAGAGTTAGGGCTAGGTTAAGTTAGGGTTAAGTTAAAGTTAGAGCTAATACAGGGATCCTTTAGATAAGTTCTAGGCAACCTAAGATAAAACAATTTATAAGAATTATTACACTACTCCCCCCTTTATAAACTAATAGCCCTTATTAGTAATTAGAGTAAAAAATATTACTATTACTTCTTTTATTTTTAAACTAGGTCTAATTTAGCTAGGTGTCCTTACTCTAAGTATTTCTTTGCACTGCTAGCAGTGTCCTTAAAACTAAAAGCTACACATGTAGTTATTAATTATTAGAGTAGTAAAAGTCCTTTATTAATTAAAAATAATTTAGATAAAATAATAATGTTTTTTTATAAGTTCTGCTTTTTAAATTATACGCTATACAGTAGGCTACTATAGCTTTAAAGAAGTTTATTTAAGTATATTTAAAACTATAGTTTAGTACTTGTAGGCTAGGAGAAAGCTTTTTTTATAAGTAGAAAAACTAATCTACTTAAGATACTCTTTCTTTAATAGCTACACTAATAAAGCACGCTTTAAATATAAAAAATGCTTTTTTTTATTTATTTTAAAAGTTTAAAACACTTATTACACTTTAGTTTTTTTTAACTAGTAATAAAATAAGCTTATAAAAGCTTTATTATATTTTTTACACTTTTAAACTAAAACTAGTCTAATTTAGCTAGGTATCCTAGCTCTAAATAATCCTTTGTAATACTAGCTATGTGTCTCTATATTAACACTATGTGTGCGCGCTTACTCTAATAGTAATCTAAATTAATGTTAAGTTTATTTATAATAAAAGCTTACTATTATTTAAATATAGGTTTTTTACTGTTTATAAAGATCTTAATTTTAAGTACATATTTAGTAAAAAGCATTTACTAGGTCTAAAAAGTGCTTAAAAAGTCTTTTACACTTAGAGTAGTAAAAGTAGTATAAAATGTTATTAAAAGTAATTTAAAGGTTAGTAGAAGTTAACTAGTAGTTTTTAGCTAAATTAGCTACTAAAGCTATGCTTATAATTAAGTAATTTAATTATTAATAAATATACTACTAAGAGTTAACTTTAAATTAGGTAAAACTATAGCTTTAGGTGCTATAAGAGTAGGTTTAGCTATTAACGTACTTCACAGGCGAGTTGCTTACACACCTAAGTTGCTTACTTTTACTAAGACCCTACTAAACTACTCTTCCTACACTAATGCATTCCCCACAACACTACTTAAACGCGCTAAAAGAACATTAGATACAGCTTACACTCTAAGCTTTTAAATAAAACATAAAACTTTTAAAGAAATGTGCTATAGCTATATATAAAGTTTTATAAAAAATAATAAATAACTATAGCACTAGATAACCTTTATAAGCTAATTCTACAGCTAAATTATAAAGGCTAGGCAATAAAAAGAAGTAGGTAATTATTAAGACTATACTTAAGCTATATACGCAAGGAATTTCCTCTTAAATAGCATTTATAGCTAATATAGCTAATTCTTTACACGCTAAGTGTAATCTAGGCTATATTTATATAAACTAGCCTAGTATGTTTATAAAGTGTTATTTAGAGCTTAAAGTAACATTTAAGCGTAAGTATAACTATAAAAGAGCTTTTTATAAGAGTTCTAGAGTAATTTAGAGCAGGTTTAGCCTTATAGAGAATATTAAAGCTAAGTATAGTATCTAGGATAATAATACATATAACTTTAGTAAAATAAAATTTATAATTAGCTAAATATCTTTTAACTATACTTATGCTTAAAACTTTACTTTAAGCTCTAAATAACGCTTTACAAACATACTAGGCTAGTTTATATAAACATAGCCTAGATTACGCTTAGCGCGCAAAAAATTAGCTATATTAGCTATAAATGCTATCTAAGAGAAAATTCCTTACGCATATAGCTTAAGTATAGTCTTAATAATTACTAACTTCTTTTTATTGCCTAGCCTTTATAATTTAGCTGTAGAATTAGCTTATAAAAGTTGTCTAGTGCTATAGTTATTTATTATTTTTTATAAAACTTTATACATAGCTATAGCACATTTCTTTAAAAGTTTTATGTCTTGTTTAAAAGCTTAGAGTGTAAGCTATATCTAATATTCTTTTAGCACATTTAAGTAGTGTTATAGGGAATGCATTAGTGTAGAAAGGGTAGTTTAGTAGGGTCTTAGCAAAAGTAAGCAACTTAGGTGTGTAAGCAACTCGCCTGTGAAGTACGTTAATATAAATTATTAATTAACTCTAGAGAGCTTACTATAGCTAAAGTGTATTTTAATTCTAGAATTAAAAAGTAGTTAGTTAGACATTAGTAGTTACTTTTAATTTTAATAAGTTATTAGTAGTCTCTAAGTTTTTACTTTAGCACACTTTGTATAACTTTTTTAAAGGTAATTTTAATTATAAGAGATAAAAAGTTCTAAACTTAAAAGCTTTAGTTAATAAAAAGTCTCTAGTATTTTATTTATAAACTAAATAGTTTAATATAATAGTGTATAAGTATTATAACTTAAACTAAATTCAATGTGTCTTAGGCTTAAATATAGTTAAATAAATAATTAGTGTAATATTATAATAAAGCTGTTACTAGTAATAGTAAGTTTTCTAATATAATGTAACAGCATAGGCAAGACAATAGGTCTAAATGCAGTAGAAATCTACTTAGAGGCATATAGAAGTGTGTAGGGACTTAATAACCTAGGAATCTTATTAACACCTATAGGCCTTGTACAAAGGATATTAGAAAACTACTAAGCTAGCTACAGGGGCAAGGTGCGACTAAACACATAGGGGAATAGAGGTACAGCAGGGGCAGGGCAGAGTCGGGGCCAGGTCGAGTCAGGGTCGAGTCAGGGTCGGAGCCGATACGGGGACCCTTCGGATAGGTTCCGGGCGACCCGAGATGGAACGATTCATGAGAATCGTTACAGTAAGTAGATAAGCTGAATGAATGTGTAGAGATAGGATGAGCCTACACAACTCCGAAGGCAATAGCTATTAGCAGGGTTGTGAGGATAAAGAAAGGTATACTCTCTTGTGTGTGTGTAGGTGTATGAAAGTGAGGCTAAAATACATGTTTGGAGTGGACTAATTAGTCAGTGGTGAACCACGTGACTGTAGTTGTCCTGGGCTTACAATTGCAAATTACATTTAAACTAACGTTACAGCTCTTATTAAGCAAATTGTATATAACTTAATGCGTATATACGAAAGAGATATGCTTAGACCTTCGAGAGAAAGGTTTCCTGCTGAGCTTAAATCTCCTGTGTTAATATCATGGCGTAACACGTATTGGGTAAGCAAGTGAACTTGTGGCTCTTCAAGACGCCTCTCAGGGGCGAAAAAGCTGAATGGGACCCCTGTCCAGGGCGACAAATCTGATTGGGACACCTATCCCTGTATTTTAATCTAAGTCGCCTTTTCGCGATGCAGTCCTGTTGCCTGCCCAAGATCAGGCGTTCGTGGCTGAGGGTTCCTGTGTCGAAATACGAAGCTTTAGCTAACAGCTGAATCGTAATTGCGGAGTGACTGGAATCCGAATCACTCATGGCGCTTAGTCGTACAAAGAGAACCAATCGCCTGAAATTTAAGGGGGTATTAACCACTTAGGCATCTCCAATAGATTGTTTTGCACTTCCTTCCGAGAAGATGCAATGGATAACCCGAAGAGCGACCCCAGACGCGGCTTGAACGCTGGTGGCTAAGCATATAACATCGAATATGCACTAATTATAGCAGCCATCCATGCTGTAGAGGAATAAAAATGAGCGTTAACGAGTCTGAGATAACAGCATGTAAAGTCTTCTCGCACCCTCCACTACATAAGATTCTTCCCCTAACCATTTCGCTCAACCCTAATCCGACAAGACAGATACTCTTTCGAGACAAATGTCTGCGCTGGGTGTTATCCCGATGCGGGCATCCGGCCTTCCTAATGCGGTCTTACCCTTCTGTCCAGGACCTTCTCGACTAGATGAGTACCCTTACTGGTACCGGCATCCTTCAGCCCCATCATTCCTCATCTGCACCCGCTGTCACGCCGACTATATTCAGCGAAGTCCATTTGAACCCTCCTTCGAGCGCTTCACTCCGGCATTCATCGACCGGGGCAATGTATGCCTTTTTGGTGAGCGCCCGCACATCATTAAAGTTCTCTGGCCCGCAGTCTTGCGCATTGGAAACCTTGGACTTCTCCTTGATTACATGAATCGCCGCGCTCCGATCCACAATTGCCGAAATGTTCTCGATAAGCGGCCGCTGTCCATGTTTGCCGCTTCGGAAGTACCAGGTCTTTTCCTCTGTGAAGGATGTTACCTGGACTATGTGGAGGGATCATTCTTCCAGTGGCGATTCTCGCCCGTTTCGGCATACCTCCAGGACAAGAAAGAGACTTGCGTGATGAATACTAGCGTGAGCCTCGGGTTGGAGAGACTGTTGGAAAAATATGCTAGTGCACAGGACTGGAGCGGTTTTGTCGCTGACTGGGTCGCCCGGAAGGCCCTCCCCGGTTGTTCCTCTACGCCCGAGAAGGCATCCTCTAGGAAATGGTTCGTCTCGATTTTCGACCTGCAACTGTACGTCTGTGAGACGTGCATGTGGGACCATATTATCCCACGCAAAATGCCATTCCATGAGGATTTCATCCCTGTGGAGGCTGTTCCCGAATCCCAAGGCAGCCATCTCGTTTGCTCTATGAGTGACTTTTGCGGTGTCGCCTTGTCCTATGCTATCAACTTAGCTGACGCCTTGAAGAGCAAGATCAGGTTCTGGAATCTGGTAGAGGCCAGTCGCAAAGCCCCCGCTTGCGGCAAGAATCCGGTTACTGCCGGAGGAAACGCTGGTTCGTGGGTGTCGCTTGTTCCGGATGGTAGCCTGGCCGTATGTCCCTTTCACGCGTCCCACTTCTTATTCCCCGAGTTACAGTCCTATCTCGTAAAGGGTGCTCGACCGACTTCAATGTGTGCACTCAACGGAAACTTTTCTGAGCTTGCGCTCCTGGTGTTCCACAAGCTCCACTGCCTCCTGTACGCGGGGGTAGCCGCCGATTTCCTGAATGGGGCCGAGACCTTAGCAACCTTGCCTCCGTGTCCTAGAAACAATGCAATTAAGAATGGGCGATGGTTTATGATAGGGGCGGCAAACGCATGTCCACGGTGTTGCATGACCTTCTTCCTAGGCATACAAATCAGCCTTGGTCTTGTTTTTCCAGACGGTCATCTCAAAGGCCCGACCATAGGAGTCCCGTCGCTTACGTCGTGCGATTTCTCGTCTATAAGAGTACGGCAAGCTTATATCGAGGCATGCAAGAAGGGTGATGCGTCAGGGTTGCTGGCGCTGGCCAAAACGAGAGACGAGATCCGCGCCAGCTTGATCTTGGCCAGAGGCAAGCGAGACCTGGCTTACAATGGCGCTCTACACAACGCGGTGCTAGGCACCGCGTATGGCGGGTTAGATAGCGCGTTAACTGCAGCCGGAGCTGACGGTGCCTATCTCCACGGGAATAGTAGGCTGGGTTGGTATAACACGACGGAAGGTGCTCAGAGCGCAATGTGTTTCGATGCAATGCAGCAGGGCTTTGGGAAAGCTGGCGATATGTCTGTGACTATGGAGATTGCCCGATTAGAGGCTCTCTGGAAAGAAGTCGAATAAAGCGGTGGGATGTTGACTGTTGTCAAATTCACAGCCTAGCAGCATGTCGTGCGTTCTAAGGTGGATATGTGAGGATTGGAAGCGATAGAGTGACTGCGGTAGCCCTTGTCGCACGTGTCTCACGCGATACCATACCTATGTACTGCACTATGCACTTATTAAGACTAGCTCCTTTCTCGTACAGTATATGTTCAGCCCAGAGCTCTCTCAAGCTCCTTAGACCTTACAATACACTTGTAACGGCACAGGCAAGACAATGGGTCCGAATGCGGTATGAATCCACTCAGAGGCATATGGGAGTGCGTGGGGACTTAGAAACCTGGGAATGCCATTAACGCCTATAGGCCTTGTACAAAGGATATTAGAAAACTACTAAGCTAGCTAAGGTGAGAGGTGCAACTAAATACTTAGGGGAATAAGGGTACAGCAGGGGGCAGGGCAGGGTTAGAGCAGATATAAGAAACCTTTAGATATAAGATTTGCTAGGTAGCTTCAAGTAAAATAAAATAAGTAAACAATTAGACAGCAAGCCTGCATTAGGAAATAGATGCGCTCTGTTCAGGCAATCCGGACCTCGCTTATAGTTTTCGCGCTACGCTCGAACTGGCAATCAACTTCGACGTCCATTATAAAAGGCCCCCTTCGCCATCATTTTCCCACCCTCTCCCTCACCTTTTTCTCTCTCCTCCGATCCCTCGGTCCCCACACCCCTCGTCAGTGCCATTTGCTCCTATTGGGCCTCCGCAATCCCGTGTGAGGCATTTTTCTCAAATCTCCGTCGCCGTCCAACACCGCACTGCTTGCGTCGTGCCTCTCATTTCACACCTGTGTGGACTGTGCTGCCCAGGTATTTATCTCCAGCTCTGGCTACTGCTAAAGCTGCTTGTGCACTCGCATCCGCAAGCGTTTCGCAGCCCACCAGCTTTCCATTCTCTCGTTCTCTCGCGCTCTCTCGCACTTAAGCACTCTTCGCTTCTCCATGTAAGCTCTCTACCCCTCTCTCGCAAGATGCTCGCTCATCCTGCGCCAGCGGCAGCTGCGGAGGAAGGGAGAATATCCCCACCTGTCACACAAGTAGCACCGCCTTGCGCGATCCCGCAACTCGTCTTCCCCTGCTCCGGACTTGCCGATGGTATTTACCACACCCTGCCTTATTCCTGTTTTCAGTGAACGAATGCACGGCACTCACGCCATTGTCTCAGCTCTGATGCTCCCATACTGCACCCCGCTCCCTCGGTTGAATTCGCTGGGCCAATCGCTCGCTCAGCTACCGTGTCCCGCTCCTGGCTTCATTTCTCGGCGGTGACGCGACCATCCACTCGCATGACGCATTAATTTGACTCTCCCGGCGTCTACATCGGCGCCATGATTACAGCAGGATGCTCCGACTCGCATGAGGTATACGGCGTTATATGCAACCAGCAGGGGGCCTGATGCCTGGAAGCTGGCAGCTGATAGCTCGGAGATGGCGTCGGGCGTGCTGTGAGTTGTGAATGAAGCCCCGCAGACTAATCACCTGAAGGTACAGGGCACCGTCGGCGAGAATTACGCATTCATGCGTTATCCGGCGCGGACTCGTCCTACGCACAGAGGGTGTTCGACGATTGAAGAAAGAGCTGGCGATCGGCGGTTTCGTTTGGAATGATATGGATCCTTGACTAGCTGAAAGATGCACACCACCGGTTCGTAACGACCGTTTGCTGGCCAACCGCCAGATGAGCCAGGCCGACCCTTGATACGGCGTGGCCTCCACAGCGCCTGCGAGAGCGCGATAAGACGGTCATCTCGGAGATGCTGAGGCCGACGGGCTTCGAGTCATCCTCGCTCACGCTGCAGATGGTGTTCTTGCACTGCCCGCCACGACCGTTTCTGCGCTAGATGCGGCATTTATGCGAGCTCTTCACGATCTTCCTTCTCAGGCGGCGCAGTGTCGGCCGTGGCACATAAAGCGACACTCAGTGCGGAGGGAGAGCGATGTCTCTCAATCTCTTCACAGATTCCCCAGCAGGTTGTTATACCAAAATGGCCTCCTCTTGCAGCACCTTCTCACTAGCCCCTTCGCTTCCTATGAAAATCGTTCCATACGTTCCCTCAGCGCGCAAACACAAGCCAAAACCTAAGGCTAATGCAAAGGCGACAACTAGGACGGCAGGGTATAACATTTCCGAAGCCAACTCCTACAAAGATAGTGGAGAGTGGTTCGACATCAATGATTTCCCAATGCCGGATTCTAACGCATCGCGCTCTTTCAATCCGGGAGTACTTGCTCCGCTCAGAGATGCAGACCCCTCCGGTTCGCTAGATCAAGGTATTACCCACCATTGAACGTTATAAGCAAACAGAACCCAGCTGATATATAGATGTAGACGTGGTTGGTGGTCTTTACGCCGCCCCCTTTTCTGGAGAAACCAGAGCATTGCCAGCCTGGCCAGGATTCGCTTGAAGATGGACGGACCGACCATGCCACAAGCATCGCGGAGACAAATTGGGCTATAAACGGGTTGCTCGGTGGAACCAGTTGAGGTAAGTATGCAAGCGGATTAGAGTTACTGATTTCACTAATTAGCGATAGAATTTCCTTTAATTGTAGAGAGTGACGCAGCTGAAGGAAACCATAGTGCAACGCACGTTGAGCCTAGCAACGGAGCGTCTGACTATCAAGAGAACGGTTACCGTGCGGCTGCCGGCAGCGAAGGATACCGTGCCGGACAGGATGGCCATCTCGACGCAGATGGAGTGCGCGCTTTCTCCGTAGAGGATATGGAAAGTATTCGTCATGGTGAGTAGTTCCAGCAGAGTTAAGGAGGCCATGTTAACGTCTTCCAAGACAGCCTGCTAGCGCAGGACAATCCACTCTTTGGCGATGTCAGCGTAACAGACGGACCATCAGCAACACGCAAAGGAACGCACTCTTCATCTGTTGATACGATGATCATCTCCCCGGCTGCAGTGCCGGACGTTACGCCAGAACCAGAGCTGGAAGACCCCCGTTCGGGTTTCCAGTTCTAGAGCCAGCAACGAGCTTACTCCTGGGCCTCTCGACAGTGACAGTAAAGGCGATGGTGCTGGAACCCCACACCCGCCCCCAAGCGACCTCCAGGGTGAAGAGGATGGCGGTGATAGCGCACACAGTCGTAGGACAGACGAGGAGCTACTGCATTCCTCGAAGCGATCCATCTCTCCTGTCAAAGGAATAGAAGGCGAACAAGATATCCGTCCGGGCTCGGACAGGCGTGAGGAGAACAGGGAAGGCAGTGGTGGAGAAGATGGGGAAAGTCACGAGGACGAACTTAATTAGGTCAATAAGGTGTCCCGCAGACCTTCGGCGAAAACTTCTCAACGACGTAAACGCAGCGATCTTCCGGTCCGGGGGAAGGGGCACGGTCCATCACGAACTGCTCTTAGGCCACGGGGCTCGAGCACAATGCCGACGAGTGCATCGCGACAAGTAACATCATTCCAACCACGGCTCAACATGCTCTACCCTTCTGCTCAGCATGGCGAAGAACTCCACGTAGGCGACGCGACTCCCGATTCCCGGAAAGAGCTCGCTAAGGCTCTGGGTGAGATTAACGGCGCGAAGCTCAACGGATATCGTCGGACATGGGACGCTGGGAATGGCATACCTGGCAATTGGCTTGGTGCGGACATCAGTGATGGTGACGGCCTGGTGGGCTCTTCGGCTGCTCTGCCAGCGCAGGGTTCCTCTGCTGCAGCACAAGCTGTACGTGTAACCTGTTGACATCACAAAGCATGCAAGTAATGCTAACTTTGTCTAAGGCTAGCACGGCTGGATTCCCAACTGCGATGAACGCCTATGTGAAGGACATTGGCACCGGGAAGACAGACTGTTGTTGCGAGTGATTTCTACGCGACCGCGGCGTAGCTTGCAGATCTGACCCGTGTGCGGGTGTGTCGGCATCGGCATCATCGGACGCGAACATGTCTTCGTGGCCTGGCTGCTTGCTGCCCCTTCTCGGACTGTGCCGCAAGTCGAGCTCGCCATCGCCGTTCGGTCAATCGGCCGGACGCCTTCTTTCGAGATCACAGTGATCTGACCAGTATATCCTCCACCTCGCAGCCCTTCGATGGCGCCAAAGGTGCCTGATCCGCTGTCATGCGGTTAGCAGAGCAATGAAATCTGCGTAGTTGGATCGTCGTACCCTCCGATTACAAGAACCTTGCCTTTGCTCACTGACGAACACTTCAAATTCAGGAATCTTCGATTAGCATTGAGAGTATCTTGGACCGTCTTGACATAGACTGCGCCATCCTTCTCCACCACTTCGTACTTGGAGAGTGGATCTAGTGCGGGGGCGTCTTCGACGTCGCCTGTTGAAACAGAAAAGCAAGCTGGGGCATGTCAATTGCATGCTCAGAAAATGTGGGATCACGTTATTTACCTCCATGCCACGGGCACGTAAGTCGGCCATCCGGAGTAAGCCCACCCTTGGCTAAAGGAGCTCCGTAGTGTGTACAGTTGGCAGATGTAGCGTGAATCTTATCCTCGACCTCCAGAAGGAGCACCTTTCCCCCCTCGACGCCCTCAACTTCCACCTCTTGCTTCTCTCCTTTTTTAAATTGAGGGACGTTACGTGAGCTTGAACTCCTGCGCCATTCTCCGAACGCTCTTTCCGAACGATTTCGACTGAATGTAAGATTTTGGTCGAAAAGAAGCTTGCAGTGAGGTAATTCTGAGTCGTAGAAAGCGTACCGGGAGCATTAACAGTGTCGGCGAGGGTAGGTGGTAGAAGTATGAGCTGTTGGGGTACCAGCGAATGGACGGGCATAGCGGGGTGCTGACGAGCACCGCATTCTACTGGGATCTGATTCGTCGCGCAATCATGACGTCGCATGTCCTAGTTAGCGGCATGCCCCACAACTCGGGATCGGGACTCGCAGTGCGTTTTATTCCGTATATTTGTCATGCCTTAGAGACTCTGACCTGGAGGAGTCTAGAAACATTTTTCTCTTTAAATAATTCGAAATGTATTTCTCTAGGCATAACTTAAAAACTGCGTCGCCTATAATAACAAGGAAGAATAATGTAGAGTAAAAAACTCCGAACCCCAGGTCTTCCAGATTCCCAACTTGAACCCAACTTCTCTAATATTCTACCACTCACAAACGACGACGGCGCGCCGGCACCCCTCATCTCCGCATTCATACGTCTTCTCTGGCTTCTTGTGATCCTCGTGCTCCTTACAATTGACACCTCCGTCTGGCAAATCGGGGCAAAATAGTCTGCCCGGATTGGTTCCATCATTCCTATAAGAGCAATCTTTGGGAAGAACTTCTTGGTCTTGGAAGGTCTCACGGTTGATCTCTGGGTTTGAGGGCCATTCGGGCATATCATCATCTTTCTCCGACATAGGCTCTTCAAATTTCCAGGTATTATCCCTGTCGAAGCATCCCACAGGGTCTCCAATGTTGTGCTCATAGAAAAGCCAAGTTCTCTTAAACCAGAGTCACCCAGTCAGGGGCTTCGCCTTCAGTATGGTCGTACTTGGACTCGAACATGATTGACAGAGCCTTGGTCGGCTTGGGATCTTAAGGAGGAGGGTCCTGTGGAGGTTCTTCCAACTTTCGGTTTGCTTTGATCTTGTCCATCCAGCTGTTGGCGAAGAACAGGTAGCCGGACTTCTTCGGGTGGAACATACGGTATGTATCGTCGTAAGCCCACTTGACCTTGGCCGGGTCATCATGAAGTTTCAGCCGGTCTTGCATCATCTCAAACACATTGTCGTATTGGTCCCAGTTGCCGTCGCTGACATTCCATGGAGCTAGATCCTTGTTGTCTTTCATTTTTTGGCGTTCCTCTGGGTTAGGAACCAGAATATCTGCAATTCTTTCAAGTTTGTTAACGTCGTCGGTCTGATCTTGGCCACCGTCTGGATTTTCCTCGTTTCCCGCATCTGATGTGCATATCTTGGATCGATCACTACCCTCGCCGTCATTGTGGATAGGCCAAGGAACATCCTTGCCAAACCATGGGCTTTTGTACGACCATATCTTGGTGTCTATATCCTTGTCCTGGTTCTTGTTGCTATGAATACACTTCGGTTCGCGGTGTTCGCAGAAGCGGTGATCGTTGAATCCCTCATTGTAGCTATCGACGTAGACTACACCCCAAGGCCCGAGCTCTTCGGCTACCGATTTAATGAGTGCGTTGAGATCGTCAACTAGAGTATTAAACCGCTTCCTGAGATCAGTAGTGAGCCACTGCTTGTAAGCGAACCAGCCGTTGAGGACGTTCCAGTATACCTTATCACAGTCAGTGTCGTCATGATTAAACAGTCCGATGTAGCCACCTGAGCGTAACTAATGTTAGTAAGAGGTCTCGGATGTTTAGAACTGCGAAACCTACCTGCGTAGAGCTGGAAGCTTTCGGGTGGATCCGAACCCCCGGCTTGTCTTCCGGCGGCAATGACCTTGGCGTAAGTGAGCCGGAGCTCCTGTTTAAACTCAGGGGTCTCAAGAATCCTCCTTGAGTCTGCTAACCGCTGGTCGCAGCCCATCTTAGGCCTATATCTAAACACACAATCATTGACAATTCCGGAAAACTTGATGTCGTTGCCAGATATCGTCATGACTGCAATCTGAGGCTTTCCAATCGGAGTATAGGGCCAATCTTTGGGGCCCATCCTAAAGGTATCTTTGGCATCGCCCTGCTCGAGCATCTTTTCGCGTACGTCCACCATGACGTTGCCTGAACATGGACCGAAGGTAAGCGACGGCTGTTTGCCGTCTTTCCCAAGGTCTTTCCATTCGTCCTTTCTCACGAGCTGAACAGGCCAAGCACCGAGGTACCTAGAACAGTTGGTCTCCCCATATTCGTCGTACCAGCTGTTGGCTCCAATGCCTGCCGAATACGAATCGCCGATTGAGAGCACTTGGTCAATTTTCTGCTTTGTAGTTAGTGTACTATTCATCACATGCTATAAGGACTTCCTGATGGCTGACAAGCCCCAAGCAAAATGATCATCACATCCCCCCTCTTTAATATGTATGATTGGAACGAAAATAGAAACTTACATTCTTTGGGTTGACTACTCTTTTCCTGACATCGACCCCGGCATCTTCCAAAGCTTTCTTCACGGCTGGAGAAGGATCATCGCGTGGCAAAATAGCAGCTCCATCGCCTAGTGCCGCAAAAAGCAGCAGTAGAGTGGATAGACCCAGCATAGGGCAAATAGTAGATTTGAGTTGAAGTATAGATGAAATTCGCTGCCCGAGCTAAATTTGTTGACGTAAGATCGAACTATCAAACAACGTTGCAATGAACGGCTCAAGTTCGCAGACATATTTGACTCTTTATATAGAGGTCTCCGCGCAGTGCATATCACGAGAGTCTCTAAATGAACACAGTATCGAGTACTCAAGTCCATTACGCCCCTTCCTGAAATCCTGATGATTGAGGCGCTGCACTTGGTAAACCTCTCGCCCCGACTGTACACGCACTGCTATCCTCTCTGATGCAGGAACAACGTCCAGGAACACGTTCGGGGCAAAATTGACCTTGCGTCTGTTCCCTGACTTAATGGTCCAACATATGGCTCTAAGCCTACTGTCTTGGGCGTGGTTCGCTTCGGAATATTTTGAAGGAACTCGTCACACCCCATAGTCTCTATGCGAAACAGTCATATAAACCATGTTTTTTACGCTCTTACGAAGTTTAACTAGATACACTAAGGGACAGGAAACAAAAATAGACACGAGGAAACGAAAAGGCTGTATAAAGAACCCTGACAAAATCATTTGGACGTATTAGACCCCCACCAGGCGACATACTTGGCCCCATCAATCCATCCTTACTAGACCTCGTATGACACGCTAGCCTCAAAAGCAAACAAGATTCTGTCATCCGGCAGCCTAGCTACCGCTTCAATATCCAAGTCCACAGTCCCATGTCCTTCTGGGTCCCAAGCTAGTACCCACAAGTCGCCCACAATCTCATTGGATCCTTTGATAAGCGGACCGCCATAGGTGTAGTCGTCTTCGTTCCTCACCGTGAACGGTTTGAAATCAGAGAGCTTCTTCTTAATCGTGTACTCAGGCTTGTCTTCGCGACTGGTTTCCTGAGCCCAAAGCTCAAGCGTAGCGTCGGCAAGGCCCGGTAGATCACGGGTTCCTGTATCGCCACGGAGGTAAAAGAAAACGCGGTGGTCTCTGCGTCCTCGTTAGCATCCGACGCAGATGGTAGCTCACCACGGCGACGTCGCGCTTACGAAACCACTGGGTTCGGAGACACAGTGAACTCATCTATCTCGAAGAGCTGATCGGCTGCTTTTTCACGAGTGTAATATGCTGGATTGTCGCCGGGAACTTTTTCGCGTTCGGCATGGTGGTGTGAGTCGACAAGTGCTACCTGATGCGATGCTGGAACGAAGAGAGCGCAGGACAGCGGTGCGACAAGTAATGGAAGGTGGAACAGCTTCATTGTGTCGCGAGGCGATGGAGATGATGCGTGGAGAGAGGAAGGTAAATATGCGAGGCTGTGGCGCTAAATGGTATATGTTCTCGTAATGTTCTGTGACCTTGCCAACTATGCAAGATGTTGTAGGTAGTGCGTCATCTCGCCCTACACATGTAGACGACGGCCGCCTTGAGCTTGGGGCGTCCTTAATATCCTTCCTTGTGTCGCACAAGTGGGAGGAATCCTTCGTGATCCTGAAGGAGTCAGCTGATCACCTGTTTGAGAGCTCTCGAGTTCTGTTCTGAGGCGCTGTTCTGAGAACTGCGCAATGCCGCGGCTAGCCCCACCGCGCCGCCCCGGCTCTAGCTGCTGTCGCCCGCGTCCGACTCCGGTGCGGACCCTACCGTATCTTGGCACCTGACGCCCAGCCTCACCTGACGCACAATTTTGCCGGGAACTTTAAAATTGCCACATAATACTTACTATACTAATATAGATCTAATTTTAAAAGCAATTGTGCTGTTAAAATCTCTAAAGCCTAGTAAAAAAGTTAGTATAGAAAAAAACTATAAGAAAATATAGTGTTAATTAATTAACACTGTTGTAAAGGTATTGCAGAGCCTAGGGCTTCTGTGTAGAGCAATATAATAAATAGTAACTTTTAAATAACTAGCAAAAGCAGAAGCTTATAAAATACATTAACAAACTTTATAAGTAAGGTATACTTTTTAAAAGAAACATGCTACGCAATTTTACTAGTAAAATAAGTAAAGAAATAGTAGAAAGATCTTAAGCTAACGTACTTTACAAGCAAGTTGCTTACACACCTTAGTTACTTACTTTTGTTAAGACTCTACTAAACTACTTTTTTTATACTAATGCATTCCTAACAACACTATTTAAACGCGCTAAAAGAATATTAGATACAGCTTATGCTCTAGGCTTTTAAATAAGACGCAACACTCTTAAAGCAACATGCTACAGCTATGTACAAGGTCTCTTAAAAGACAATAAATAACTAACGCACTGTAAGTATAACAGCGTGTACCGCGTCACTGTTACAATCCTTGCTTCAGGAAGCACTCGGGTCTTATGATGTTCCTAGGGGGGGGGGGAGTAGGACGGATAGGAGGGGCCAATCCAGTAGGGTGTACAGTCCTACGTACAGGCTATTAGGCTAATGGAGGGAGGGAGAGTGACTAGATTGTAGTTTGCCCTATGTGCAGCAGTAGGGAGGCTAGGGTTAAACAGTCCTGTTAGACAGAGTTAAAGGTATATATAGTATAAGATATATAAATAGTATTACAGCTTTTTAAAAAGCTAAATGCTACTTAGTCTATGTAAAAAATAAACTAAACATTAAACACACCTTCTAAAGGTTATTTAATGTAGGAACTTATATACATGTGTTAGAATGCTAAGGGGAGTTAGCAGAGTTTATAGAAGTTTGCTAAGAAAAGCTTCTTAAGCTTCTTTAAACTTCTAGTAACACGCAGCCTACCTTTCTATTAGACAGAGCATTCTTCTATAATCTTAGAAAGCTGTGCTGCCTCTGTGTCCTCTAGCTAGTCTGTAAGCAAGCCCTGCTCTAATTCAGCTAGATTGTGGAGCACTGCTAGTAGGGTTACGCTAGTCTAACTGTAGATTGTAACACACTGCCCTCTCTCCCTAGCAGCGTCCTTGCTGCTCTACTTACACAACTGTGTTAGTAAGAGTTTTTTTATAAGGTAAGCATCTGCCTACTAAAAGGCATTCCTAACATCTATTTATTCTATACTAAATAGCTTGTTAGTCTTGTTTATTTTACTATTTTTATATTGCTTATTATTTTAATTCTTTTTATTAAATAAAAATAAGGCCTTATAGCGCTTACTAATTTTTAGAGTTGTTTTATGTGTTAACTTTATCCTTAAACAGTTATGTTAAGTGTGTAAAAAAATATAATAGGTGCAACACTTTTATTTTTAACACTATATAGAATTAGTTAGAGAAGAAACAGAAGACACTCCTTTAAAAAGCTTTTATTATAAAAGCTTATAAGTAAAAGCTTAGTAACTAGATATTACATTAAGTTTAAAAGACTTTAAAGGTAATAAATAAGAAGTGTTCTAGATAAGATTATATCTAAAAGTTATTAAATTTACTAAAGGCTTATTATGTAAAGTACCTAAAGAGGGATCTATCTTCCTTAGATAAAATAGAAGCTCTTAAGGCTAAAGTAGAAAGCTATTCCTTTTTTTAACTATTATTAGCTAGAACTTGTCTCTAAAGGCTGCTACTATCTAGTAATAACATAGCTATTCCTTTTAATATAGGTGCTTTATTGCCTAGCTAGTTTTTTTTAAATAAGCCTAAAGGTACTTTTATACTAACAGCTGCGCGTTTCTTAAATTCTTAGCTAGTTTCTATGTGTTTTTACTAGTAAGCTACTTTTTTTATTTTACTAAAAATTCTTTTTAGTTTTTTTAATTACTAATAATATGTTTAACTTTATATTCTGCTTTTTTATTTTTTTATTCTTAAGTAGATAAAGAAATCTCTTTAGGTGCTTTTTCTAATCTAGAGATATAAAACTATAGGTGTATCTTTATATATAGGGGAAGCTTAAGCTTGCAGTTGTCTTATTAGGTCTAAAGAACTTTGTATAGTCTTATTTTTTTTTTTACTAGCTTTCTAGAAGGTCTAGGTATCCTAAGATTTTTAGTGTTAAAATACATGTAGTCTTTTAAGTAAATTTTTAGTCCTAGCTGTTATAATTTGTTTACATACTTTTTTATTATTACTTTACTAAATCTTGCTTTAACAGCTAACCTTTTATGTATTTAATATAGGTTTATTAGCTAATCTATTAATTTTTATAGGTCTGTAGGTTAACTTCTGTGCAACATAAAGTACAGGTTGTATTTAAAATTAGCTTTATATAGTGTTTCTTTTATTATAGCTAATTTTACATTATTAATTACTAGCTGCGCTATTAGAAGCTATTTTAGCTAGTTATTCTAAGTGTAAAAAATGTATTTTTTTAAATATTTTTTTATTTTTGCATTTACTCTTTTAGTCTGTCTGTCTATTTGCAGGTGGTAGGCTATTAATAGCTTATGTGCTATGCTAAGGTGTTGTATTACTACTTTCTAAAAGCTGCTAGTAAACAGCTTATTTTAATTAAAGATAATAATTCTAGGACATTTATATACTAATACTACATTTTGCTTTAATTTATAAATAAATTTCTTAGCTATTATTATTTTTTCTAAGGGCTAAGTGTATAGATACTTAGTAGTTTTATCTAGGGCTACTATAATTATGTTGTACATCCTGTCTGTCTTTAGTTCTTTAGACAGAGGTAATCTTATAATAAAGTTTATTATAATTATTATTTATAGTAGCTTTAGTGCTTTAATTAGTTAAAGATATTTATAGGCCTTATGCTTTCTTAAGTTATTTTTATTGCAGGTATTACATTCTTTAAGCACCTTTATGCATAGTTGCTTTACTTTTAGTATTTGTTGTAGTATAGCAGCCCTTAGCTTCTTCTAAAAGGTGCCTATTCCTAGATGTCTAAATATTAGAGATTTATAATATTCTTAGATTAAGTTCTTCTATTCTTACTTACTAGCTATAAGCATGTAGAATTTTTTTATAAGTTAAAGTCTATTATAAACTTATTCTTTATTAGTTTTCTTAAAAAGTGTAAACTCTTTAGTTCCTTTTTTTTCTTTATTAAAGTAATCTAGTTTCTAGCTAAGGGCATTAGCCTACTAGTTTTATGCTCTAGGCATGTGCTTAATAATATAGTTAAACTGTGCAAGTTTTATTACTTATTTTATATGCATTAGTAATAGTTTTTTTACTAACAAAAACATAACTAAGTTTATATAATTAGTTATAATATTAAATAGCTTTGCTATTCTATGTAGCTCTGTAGCCTATACTTTTATAGCATTTAATATTACTTTTAGTTCTTTGTTAGGTATGCTGTAGCCTGCTTTAGGGCCTAAGAACTTAGCAGAGTAGTACACAACTAGGTGCTATTTTCTGTCTTCCTGCTTTTAGTATAACGCAGCTCTGCTAGCTCTAAGGGATACATTAGTATAGATCTTTGTTTTTAATTATAAGTTATACATTCTTAATACTAGTTTATTTATTATAGCTTATTTTAGTGTTATAAATGCTTTATTTATTTTAAAGGTTTAGATAAACTTTACTATTACCTATTTCTTAGTTATAGTGTTTATTAATAGTATAGTAATTTTTAAATAGTTTTTAATTATTTGTCTAATGTAGCTTAATAGTCTTAAGAATTCTTTTACTTTTTTAACTGTTATAAGTTCTAGCTACTTTAGTACTTTTTATACTTTAGCTAAGTTAATTTTTATTTCTTCTTTATTAATTATAAATTCTAAGTATTTTATTTTAGTAATATAGAACTTGCATTTAGAGAGCTGTAGGTGTAGTCTATACTTTCTAAGCTGTTCTAAAACTTTTTATACTTTCTGTACATAGTCTTCTAGGGTATCTCTTAAATAGATAAGAATGTTATTTAAATATACTAAAGTAAAGACATCTAGGTAAAGGTTAAGGGCTATATTAATAATTTGCTAGAAAGTTGCTAGGGTATTTATTAAGCTAAATAGCATTACTAGTAGCTTATAAAGTCTCTATAAAGTTTTAAACACTATAAGTTACTTATCTTCTTTTTATATTCTTATTTTATTAAACTTGTCTTGTATGTTAAACTTTATAAAGTATTAAGTTCCTTTTAGTTAGTTTATAATGTCTTATATAATTAGTAGAGGGAACTAATCTTAGACTATGTTATTATTTAGGGTTTTATAGTTTTAATATACTTAGATTTTTCTTTTTTTCTTTTTTGCAAAAACTACTGCTAATGCTACTAGGCTATAGCTTTCTTAGATGTGGCCTTATGCTAACATCTTATTAATGTATTTTTATAAGGCCTTTTTCTGTACTTTTGTTAAGGGGTAAAGCTTATGCGTTTTTAGGTTGTAATCTTTTATTAAGTTAATAGTGTAATTCTAAGGCTAGTGTAGTAGTAGTTCTTTAGGGTCTTCTAGTGTTTTAAACATGTCCTTGTAGTCTTTATACTTAGGCAGAATTTAACCTTTTTTTTAGACTTATATAACACTAATTTATTCTATATTCTTGTTTACTTTAATTTTTTTATAAAAGACTTTTTTAAGTTTTTTTTTTATTATTT